CGGCGCGCACGTATGGCCGCGGGCAGAGCTCGCGCGGGAGGACGACGACGGCGAATTCCCTGTGTCGCTACCGTCCCCCGTTGACGGCCCCGGTGCGGACATGGGAGTCGGAGAGTACGGGGAATCGGGTGTCATCATCATCCGCTTGCCCCTATCGGCTCCAGCTTCGGCCTTGGAATGCACGCTGTCGGTAGCACTGCCAGGGCGGAAAGGCAGCGGCGCCTCTGCCAGCTGGCCTACCTCCATCGGTACGCCATCGTACAGGTGGGTGTCAATGCCGCCATAGCCGTACAGCTCGATGGCGGCAGCGTAGGTGCGCAGGTTTTGAATCATCCACATGCGGATCGAGTAAAACAGCGCCACATTGAGGGTGGAGGTGAGGCGAAAGAAGGGCACCGGGTCGAACGCCGCCTGTGCTGCAACGTGCTGTGCAATTGCCGCCGCCGGAGCGCCTGGCTGCTGCCGAAAGCCGCTACCGGCCATCGAAGAAGATGACCCAAGGGTTGGAAACGGTGGCCGCTGCCACGGCGCGCCCTGGGCGCCCCGCCAGCCAAAGCCGCCGCTGGAGGGCGCTCCACTGGCATGGGCACGCAACTTGCCATTTGCACGCTCGACGGCGGCGATTGCAGCCGCCGCGGCGGCTGCCACGGCAGCTTGCAGCGCCTCGTCAGCGGCGTCAGCGATAATATAGGCAAGTTGTTGGCAAACGCGTGTACGGATGTCGTGCACTTCCTCGGTACGTACACCTTCCTGGATGTTGAGAAATGTGATCAGATCAATGGAGTCGTCAGGTCGAAAGGGCCTCGCTTCGAAGACCGACGCGCCCAGCGTCGAGCCCACAGTTGCGGCGGGTGCAGGCCGCCGCCGCGACTCGATGTACGACTGGTGCTCCGCTGCCACCTTGTCGCGGCCCGCCAGGAAAGCAAACACATGTTGCACAGGCAATAACTGCATGCCGAAGATGTCCCGCGACTGTATATTGACCAAGTAAGACAACGCCTGCTGCAGCGCGCGCAGCGTCGGCGGCGCTGCCATTAGCGATAGCTCACTCATCGCCATAATGCCGTATGCTGTCACGCCTGGTGGCGGCGTGCCATCACCCGGCTGCTCGAACGCAGCCGGACATGGAACGAGCACGGACGGCGCCGCGGGACCGGCAGGGATGCCGTTGCTGGTGCTGGTTATGTGGTGCAGCTTCACATCGCTGCGGGTGCGGCCGGGCTGCAGCAGCGGCCGCTGAACCACAAGCAGCCCACCGTCGTCTTCGTCCGTGTTGGCCGTCCGGGAAATGTCCATGAGCAGTTCCTCGATGTGGTCGGGCATGCCCGAGCTGCCAAAGAGGCGGCCAAACAAAACTCGGAACACGTGATGGTTGTGCGCCTGCATGGAAGCACCAGATGACACGATAGCATACAAGGAAAACCATATGTGTATTCGCGATGGTCAAGTAACCATATCAGCGAAGGATGACCGCATAGCGGCGTCAAGGCAACCGGCGGGTGTGTTAGGAAGCAACATTCGCCTATATGTCCCAAAATCGCTTGCGCCTCATGATACAGAGGTACCTGCCATGGCAATTTGAAGATTTTCCTGGTCGGAAGGAGGCTAATCCCTTCCGAACAGCGCAAGAGGGAGGTCATGCGTGCGGCGGGAAGAAACCAGATGGAGAAGTTGAGATTTCGATCTGGCTGCCTTGCGGGACTAAGTCAGCGCGGGCCGTAGGTAAGGGGCTGTGCAACCGCTTGGGCGAGGCTAGCGGAGCAGGGCGGGCCAAGTTGGCACCGGATGGGGCTGGTGAGCGCACCAGTAAAGGTGCGGAGGGGGAAAGGGCCAGAGCAGAAGTTTCGGCGCGCCAAGAACGAGATTCGAGAATCCTGAATCTCTTGGGAGTGGCACGGGAAGGCGAGGCATGACAGGCGCAATGGCTCTCTGGTCCCCACGCGGTCCTGGGCCCCAAGGCGCCCTTTCCTAAGACAAAAACTCGGAAAACCAACCCACAATCGCGTACTCCACACGCGCCTCCTCCAGCCGCTTCCGGATCTGTTCTACCGGCTCATCCGTCGTAGCACGTCTCCAGGCGCGTTTGATGTAGCGCCATTGCAGCAATCGCCGACGAAGCGCGGGCCTGCAGCGGGGTGCAGTGCCGTGCGTGATGAGGGAGCAAGGCAGACCAGGAGAGGAGGGGGTTGCTGGCTGGGCGGGATATGGTTGACCGTGGGGAAAGTGCAGGGTCATCGGCATATTGGCATTGGCAAACGCGTCTTCGTTATACGCTAACATCTCAAACCCATCCCTCAAACCCATCCCGCAATGCTTCGCCGATCTTGATCTTGCCATATCTAGGTGCTACTCATCCTCGCTCATTCGGCATACCTCTTTCTCCAGTAGCCAAAAAGGCAAGTGTCCGCTGGGGCGAAACCAGCACCGTGCCAAACCAAGTAATTTAATCAGGCAGCGACTCACCTGACCCCTGGAGGCGGCCCTACCGCCTGCCGCTTGGTTCCAGCGCCCTGCATGATTGTCCCCGGCTGCCCTGCACTCGACAGCCGTGACGGCGACCCACGGGAAGAACCTCTGGATGTCGTAACGTTCCCAGCCGCCGCGCCGGCAGCATCTCCGCCATCGTGCTCATTTGCCATTGCTGATGATATCATGGCTGTGCCGCCGCCGCCGCCGGAGGTGCCCAGAACGGACCCACCACCGCCAGTGTTGCTGCCGCTGCCGCGCGACATTGCCCCCACGCTATGGTTGGAGCGGAATGAGATCGACTGTAATTGGGCTCTACCTGACGCAACGGAACGTGAGGTCCGGCTGAGGCGGCTGATAGTGGAGATGTTGCGGCTTAGTGGCCGCGTCAATTCGGCATCAAATCGGTCTGCGGTATCATTTCCCCCCTCATCGTCATCACCGCTGAGACCGCCATTGCCGTCGTCATCCGGATCGTCACCCCAGCCGCTTGAGTTACCCCCCGAAGACCGCATTCCGCGCGGCGCCCCCGCGACGGCAGCTGCGCCGTCACCAGAGCCGCTGAAGCGTCCGCCGCCGCCATCGCCAGAACCGCCGCCACCGTGGCCGGAGGAGCTGCCATCACCGGTGGCGGCGGCGCCGCTGCTGCCCAGCGTTAGGTCCCAGTAGTCCAGTCCAAGCCGCCGTACAATGCCCTCCACCATACCGTCCGTCAGCAGCGGTGCTGCCGACAGCGGTACGGAGTCGCGCGCGGCGTTGAACTCCAGCTGCTGCTGCAGGCGACGTTGGTGATCCAGGGCCGCGTTTCGGAGCTCCTGCAGCCCCGCCTCTGACTCGCCGTCAAAGATGATGTTGAAGCGTGATACAGTCTTGGTCTTGCCTACGGAGGACCAAAACACAGGCAGATAGGCAGGAGAGTCCCCAGGGAAGAAGCAACATGGCCTCAGAATTTAAGAGCTCTGAAACCATAACCGCAACTTAAGTGATGCTTTCCGTTTCATCCCGTGTACACGGCGTGTAATGTGTAATGTTTCACAGCAAAAAAGACAGAAAGATAAGACATGGATTGGACGGAGTGGACCGTCGCCAGCTGTTCGTGTCTTTGGTTCGATTCCGTGGCAAACCTCACAATCATGTTCGGCACGAGAACTGCCAGGCGTGCAGGGTCCCTTACTAGAGCAGTCGTCTGCGTCAGTGCCCGTTGCATTCTGGACATCCGGGGCGTCAGCGCGTTAATACAACGCTGGGTCCCCGTCCTTCTACCGTTTTTTTCCCTAAACGATTCCAGCCTTCCAATCACGGCTTTCCTACAGCGCCCGCGCAAGCCCGCCTCTGAAGGCTAACTCACGGATGTTCTCCCACTCGATAACAAACGCCGTGCCGTCGTCAGAAACAGCAGTCACGACGCACGGCTTCCATCTGAAAGTCCCGTCGGGATTGAACCACCGTGAACGAGCGCGTGCTCCCACGCCGCGGTTGATGTCGCCCATGCCCAGCACCCCTGTCTGATCCGCCATTAGCACCGCCGATAGCGCTACCGTCGAGCGCAGCATCTGCTGCTCCTCATATTTGGACATCATCGCCGGTGCGACAGCCGCTGCCGCCGCTACCAGCTCTGAGCGGTTGCTGGGGATGCAACTGCCGTCAGAGGACGCTTCCCGACTTAGTTGCGAAGCTGACCCACCGGCGGCAGCACTGCCGCCGGCAGCACCGCCGATATTGGTGATGCTAGAGGCAGCGCTTATGTGACCGGCGCTATGCCTGCTGCTACTAGCATGGCGGCCGCCGACGCCGACGCCGCCAGCAGCAGCGGCGACTGTGGACCGGGAAGAAGTGAAGCTGCTGCCGGTGGTTGGGGGCGTGGAGACAGGAGTCACCGGTGACACCGCACGCTGCTGCGGCAGCGGCGGTGAGGGCTGCGGTGATGCCGTCGCCGGTGATACGTGCAATGACAGGGAAGTCGGATCGCGCGGCTCCGCCATTAGGGCTCCAACCAGGCGGTTATCATTGCTGGGCTCCCAGGTGGTGAGGGAGCCGCTGCGGGGTGGCTGTGTTCCGCGTCGGGCGTGGAGATCCTGTAGCTGGGTGTTGATATACTGGTTCGCGTCATAGTCCTGCAAGAGAGTGAAGCCCCCCGGCCAGATGCACGCAAAGTTATGGCGAGCTGAGCACAATACAAAGCTGCAACACCGCTAGGCCCGTTCCCGTCCGCTGCTGTGCTGTGCTCATTACAGCTGCTTTTTTTCGGCCTCCGCCTTCCTCCTGGGCCCTGCGCCCGCCTCCCTTCCTTCCTTGGGCGGTCCAGTGTGGCAACCACACGTTCTGCATTCTCCGCATGCTTAGGCACAGCTCTAAATGTGAGATACTGTCTCCGCTCCCACAGCTTCAAAAATACCATACATCATCCGTTCATTCCCAGCCCGGACTCCATGATGGGGCTGGATGGGCTTGGTTACTCCCCAGAGCCAGGCCCACAACCCTGTGTCTGGCTGCCCGCGCATCCCCGCAAGGTCGCAAAACCCCCCCATCCTCACCCGCTCAAATAAGTACTCCGCTATCTGAGAATGCACCTCCGGGGACACTGTTTTCCAGAACGCTTCCGGCACCTCCGTCAGCCGCATCGGGCTGCTGCCCCATCCAAGGTTTGCAGCTACTGTCTGCATTAGCTCTGCCGGCTTCACGGACCCTCCATGGGCAGGATTTCTCAGGGATCCTCCCGTGGCCGCTGCTGAGGCGGTGGGAGCCGACGAGGGTTTGGGCGGAAGCGGTGCGAGGGCCGGACGGCCGCCTCCGCCACCGCTAACAGCGGCGGCAACTGCGCTGCCGGCAGGCGCAGCCGCCCCCCTCAATGGCAGCGGCTCCGGGATTGTGGCGGCAACAGTGGAGCGCCATGCCACCTCCACAGGGTTGGTGACTCGAAGGGCAGCGCGGCCGAAGGGGTCGAACGCCGGCGGTCCAGTCTCAGCTGAGATCATGGGAAGGGCAAAGGATGGTCGGAACAGCATGACGTCGGGGTAAACACGCAGTCTGACTGCTCCACAGTCCTGCACACAGCACCTGAGGCAACTGACGCGCGGCCATTCCAGCTGCGACCCCGAAAATTCTTATCGCTTCGCAAATCCGCAGAGCTGTCATGAGCTGTGTTATTCGTGTGAGTTGTCGCGCAGGGCCCACACCCACCTTTGCTTGGTGACCCAGTCCGGTGCTTGAGCAGCGCGCTAGGGCCAGGGTGCTGCCCCTGCTTCGGCCGCTCAAGGCCCCGGACAGCGCGCCCCTTGCCAACGGTTTCTTTCTGGACGGAAACAGCGTAAGCTAGCCCCCATGGCACTCCCTAGGGGCATGCATTGGAGGGGTAACGGCATACCGCGTGGACCTTACGATGCCGCAGAGCACATGCCGGCCACACGCCGTTATGTTGCCGGGCTTTTGACGAATAATGTCATGATGAAAGTCCCTTTATTTTTAGTGTACAATTTGCAAAGCACATTTGCGTCCCACATCGCCCAGGGAAGCAAGTCCATGTACCGTGAACACCTGGCTTACCTCCTGGACACCGCTTAATCCTTCCGCATAATCACCCTTCCCGAGAGCAGCGATGGTCCGCGCAAGCCGTTCCTTCGCATCTGTGCCCTCCGCCATCCTTGGACTGCCATTCAGCCTATCATAATTTCAAGAATTGATTCAACCAGTTTTGTTCATGTTATAATTGTTGACAGCAGGGCAATTTAAATATAGCAATCAATCCGCTTCTAGCATTTGGCTATCCTTATCAAGCTTCGGATCTAAGTGAACGCCAACTTTGGTACCTCTCGTAAGTATAACCAGATATGATTGAAACAAATTCTAGGTTTCAGGTCTGTGCCGAACCATCGAAATTACCGTACATGCAATAGACGTGGAACTCTTTTGCCGCCTGTCCAATCATACGTAACCAACGTTTTGCGTACTCACTGCTTAACCAATCACGTCGCAGTCATGGCATACTGTAAGGCCGCCCTTGCACATGCTGACAGAGACATCCTTCGAATGATGCCGATAATCCTCATCTGCTGCATGGTATAAGGAGCGTGTATGAGATGGTTTATCTAGGTTGAATTTCTGGTTCAGCTAGGTGTAGGCCTATTGTCTGAGCTTCTTGTCCGGACGGAGCTCGACACTCGCTTGCAGCCTTACGCCACACCTTGTTGGACCCATGTTTGGACCCAGATGTTAAACCATGACGCCAACGTTGCAAATGCGGGTGACATCGTGACATCGGACTGCGCATCCCGGCGGTAGCAGCACACACAATGCAGCCCACCCAGCCCCTTCCGGACCCTGTGGCCTCGCCATCGTCCATCGGGCGGTTCGGTTGCGGGCTCCGTGGCCTTATAAGTTCTCCCAACAGCACGATTAACCTTCAGCCGGACGGCTGCAGCAGCCGGCAAGGCTCCCCTCAGCGCTCCGCGGTCCTGGAGCCTGTGCTGCTTGGCACGGCACAGGCCGACGCAGCCATCAGCTATTTCACCTATGGATCAACTAAGGAGACCATGATCCGCAGCCCAGAGCTGCACCGCCACGTACTGAGCACCTCTGTCGACGCGGAGGCGGTACGGCAGGTGGCGCAGGCTTGCACAGTCTCCAACAACCTGCAGGGCCCTGTGGACTTGGCAGCTGCCGCAACACCCATGGCCAGCGGATCTAATGCACCCAACCGTTCGCCGTACCTCCAACCGCTGCCTGACCGAACTCGTGGCTCGCGGTCTCACGATCCACCTCAGCCCATGCCCGGCTTGCCTAGGCCACGGCAGCCATTGTCGTCGCTGCTGCACCCTGATGTACCTGGCAGCCCTGCCAGGGGAGTACGGCGCGGGCGTCGCCGTGGTGGCGATGGCGGTGGTGGCAGTCGCAGCGGGAGGTCCCCCTCTCCATCAGTGCGGTCCGTATATGAAAGCTCGCAGGCGACTATGACTAGCAACAGCAGGGGATCTAGCATAGTGAATGCCAGGCTGGAGCGAAGTTGTCCCAGTCTGCGCCCTGCCAGCCGGGGGAGCGCGCTGTCTGCTGTGTACGGGCAGGCCCCCGTCCCCAACGGATGCGCCGGCGCTGTAATAACGGATGGCGATGACGTTAGCGTCAGGACGTCCAGCAGCGGTGCTGGCAGCGGTGATGAGGGGCGAGGCGACGACAGCCAGTATGGCAGCGAGAGCCTCCGGTGCTACTACTCTCAGTACATGCCACCGCTGCATCTGCCGCCTTCGCTTCCAAGTACGAGAAATGGGGCAAGCGTTGCAGTGCCGCAGCCGCTGCAGGAAGACTGTGCTCGTACGGCTACAAGTGCTGCTGTCCATCAGCGACCACCTGACTTGCCGGTTGACAGGGGGTCAGCGAACGGTGCTGAGGCCTCCATGCCCGCGCCTGCGGATTCGGAGTCCCCAGGCGCTATAGAAAACGGGGACGCCTTGCTGCAAGGTCATCTCGAGCACCTTCTGAACCTCCATACGCAGGATCAAACTCGTCATCAACCGCAATCGCTGATGCCGAGGCAGCAGCAGCAGCGACTGCAACTGCAGCCAATGGGACCCTTGTCAAGCCCGAGTGAACAGCATCAACTGCAGCTGGAGTTGCAGCAGCTGCCCGACGACAGACCTCCTCTACCGGCCCTTGACATGCGCTCCATCCGTCCGCAACGTGCCGCCTCCGCCTCCTCCGCCTGCTCTGCCGCCTCGTCGATTACCCAAAACCCTGTCGCGGCAGCCCGGCTGCACACACGACTGTCTGAGATGTCGCTGACCTCCCGTGCCGCCGCCTGGCGTCGCAGTCTTGCGGCAGACGCCACATTTGGTGACACTGCCGGCCACAGCGCCTGGCGCTCCAGCCACCTGACACGGCCTATCGGTGCCCAGCTGAGCGGCACACTTGCGGAGTGGATACGGAGCAGCCACAGTGTCCATTCCGTGGTCCCTGATTCACAGACCAGAGCGCAGGCCAGCGGTCTGTGGCCCGAGTGTAAGCACACTAGGAACGGTGGCCGGGCCGGCAACGGCAATGGTGTCGCGGGCGTGCCAACAGCCAGGTCAGAGGGCGGCGGCGTCAGCTCGCGACCCGCGGCCGATGAGGACCTCGCAGCCATGTGGGGCCGGCCACGGCGGGGCCGGGGACACGTGCATGTGGATCCGGAGCTGGTACGACAATACACAGAACGGCCACCCAAGCTGTGCACGCCAAACAACGCCAGCCGCCCTGTCACCAGCTCGGACTTTGTGGCGTTCAAAAACCATACAGTCAATCGTGCTGGGACAGCCAACACGCTGAGGTATGAACTGACAGCTGACTGAACTGGCAGCTGCCCAGTTTCCCCCGTCGGGTGCGGGCATGCATGGGGGATTTATGGTGGCTTCGGTGTGTAGCACCTTTCGGTGGTGTGCTGTCTTTGTGGTTCGTGGCGAGGACTAGGCGCGCCATGGGACGGCAATGGCATGCCACGTTCATTGTTGGGCTCGTTACATCTCTCTGGATAACTCAACCGAGGTGTAACACACACACACACACATTAACGCTCCAAGCCCTGGCGCCACATATTGTCTATTCCACAACCCTAGCGCGATTTTGGCGGCAACCCTGCGGGTGGGACTCCTGTGTGGCACCTCGCATAATCCACCCTCCTTTGCGGGGCCCATGCAGGACCGTGCTTGGAAGCAACGCGCCGGCTGGCGGCAGCGGCAGTTCCGGCAGTAGCGGTGCCACAGCCGCGGCAGAGGCACGAGGTGTCACACCGCTGACGACTTTGCTCGGCCCCGCCTGGGTGCCCGCCGTGCTTAGGCCCCGCTCGCCACGCGTAGGCGTTGGCGGAATTCTCACAGGCAGTACTTCCGTACCGGGGCTACACGTGCCGCTGGAGTTGGATCCCCCTCTGCGGCTGCCGCCAAGTGGCGGCGGCGGCGCCACCACTGGCGCGTCTTCCCCAACGGCACACTCAAACCTGTTCCGTCGCAGTCTGGAGTTTTCCGATGGTATCTCGTCGCTTGGATCCCCTGGCGCCGCCGCCGCCACCGCTGCGGCGGCAGCTGCAGGTGACCGTACCGGCACGCCGCTGACGGTGTCAACCTTTGGCGCGGCGTCGTCACTACCTGCTCCGGTACAAGCGGTTACAGTGCCACGGACGGGGCCCCCACCGCACGTGCGATGCGGTGCCGGTGAGCTGACGCTTGACGTGAACACGTGGCTGACGCCACCGACGGCACCGTCAGGGGAGCTTTGCGGCCTGTTTAACAGTGATGACGGGGAGAGCGTGGCGCTACTCAGCCGCGTTGTGAAGGGCGTGGTGCAGGTGAGAGGGAGCCTGAGGGCCGGCGGCGAGCCAAGTAGGGGAGAGCCGCGGCGGGCAGGCCTCGGAATTTTGTCCGGCGGGGCTGTCAGCTAGGGCCGTTAGGGCTGCACACTTAGGCCAGGGGAGGGCTGGGGATATGAGTAGAGACGGGGCCGGTCTCACCATCGCCGCGTCTGTAACCCCAGCTAGAGCTGCTGCCGTAGCGTCTTTTTTGTCCCCGACCGTGCCGCCGCACTTGCACCACACGGAGTTGCGTCTGCACATTCACTCACCAGCGCCGCTTGCTGATCCAACCCTCGCCAAGCTGCGTTCCAACTCCACTACACCAGCGGCGGTGCCCATGGTCGTCACCTCTGGAAGCATAGGGAACGGCATCACGAACGTAGTCCGCTCTGTTTCAACTACCTTACCCTGCTTCCTGCCTGGGGACCCGAGTGCAGTGCGACCTGGGTTGGGCGGAGGTGTCTGAGTCCCTCATGTTCATGAGTACAGTCACGGTGCCCAACGCAGTGCTGCGCTTCCCGGTGCCGCACCGGGCAATCCTGCAGAGGTGAGATGGATGGATGCATGTTGGGGGAGTAGATGAGCGGATGCATATTTGCTGATGGGTGTTGGGGTGGGCTATGACAGGCGTGGGCGTGGCGGCGAAGGGAGGTGGGAATGCGCCGCTGCCTTGGGGGCGGATGCCGGGCCTGCGGGGGTTAGTTAGTGCCAATTGTGGAAATACCATACCAGTGTGTTGTTTGCCAGGAGCGCGAGCTGCGTTCTTCTACCGCTTCATTGGAGGTCTCCGCTTGGACCTTCACTGGGCAGAAACCACAACATATTTAGCCTCTTAGGACCATTATGGTAGTTCGTTAAATTTGAACAGTCGGACGTGAAGCTTCTACAGCCGTGCACTCAGGATACTGAAGATCCGAACCGCAGCCAGTCCAGTTCGCCGACTTCTCCTACATGCACCATTGCTTTTACGACGCATGGCGTGCTTGCGGGCACGGTCTTGTAGGTTCGCGGCGACGATCGGTGGTACGACATTGATCGCGGAGGCAGTGGCCCGCAGCAGCGGCGGCAGTGGATTTGAGCTGGAGGAGGACGAGGAAGATGATGACCCGGGACCCGGTGGGTGGTGCTTGAGCCTTATTGGAGGGGAAAAGAGGTTCCATGTAGCTTTGTTCGTGAGCTTGCCTAGGTAATGACCTCGCGCGGCGACACCGGCTGTCCGGACCTATCCATGAAGGATGGAGAGCTAAAACAAAACCCTTGGTCTTGAAACTGTGCGGCCTTGTTGAAATACCAGCCCCACAGAAATGCCATCCTCCCTGTCACGCCCCGTCACCGGGCTTTGGCCTAAAAATACGTCGACACCCAATACTTAACATTCCATTTCCTTTTTCCATTCTTTAATGCCATTATCTGACCTTATCACCATCACCACTTACCTCCGATCGCAGGCAAGGTGTTTAACAAGGGCTTCGGTCGCCGCAACCATCAGCCCGGCCCCGGCGGACGTGCGCCCATGTTGCGCGTGCCGCTGGGCAAGGTCCGCGGCGACATCTTTATCACCATCTCCTACATTGTGCAGCTAGAGAGCTCCGGAAACACGCTGTCACTGACGCACGTGTGCAACTGGACCCCCGCGCGCATGGGCTGGCACCTGGCCAGCAGGGAGCAGCTCATGAGCTCTGATGGCAGCTGGGTTAATAACGCACCCAACAACCGTCGCTCGAAGCACAAGGCATCGGACCTGTACGACCTGAGCTTTGAATTAGAGGTAAGTGCCGGGCTGTGGGCACGGTGTACCATGACGGCAGCGGTGACTTGACGCGATTTAGGGCATGAGAATGTTGGGGACCAGCGGAAAGGAGCAAACACAAGATGAGTCGTTAATGAAAGGTATGGGAATGAGTGTATGGTAGGCGGGGTTACCCTCGCGAGGGAGGGCTGTGGGAATTATGTGGGGAGAGGTTACCCCTGGTTCGCACCCTCTTACGCACCAGACACTGTAAACCTAGTTGAGCTTAAGTGCGAGCCATCACGTTTGCCTATGTCTCCATCCGTACTGAAGGGCAGAGATGTGCAATGCCGTGCTGCGTAACGTTCGCCTGCATCGAGCATGTATGTAACTATCGGTCAGTTACCCACTACCAACTTATTTTGTGCAGATCTTGAGCCACCGCGGGCTAAACCTGGTTTCGGGGCCGCGCCATATGACCATCAAGCCCAATTATGATGCGCTGCTTATTCAGGGCTACACGCAGGTGGTTGGGGGGTGGTGGTGACTTGGGCGTATACCCTCTTGCGAGAGTATACACGGAAAGGACGGGAAAAAGCTAGGGCGACCCTTACCATTGGGCCACTATAGACTGATGCCACAGCCTCCGCGCCCACCATACGATGCCACCTGCAACCTCCATGAGTGATTCGGATGCATCCAGGCACTGCACCAATCGTGCCCATACCTTGGCAGTTGAAAATGAAGCAGGACATCCAAGACCTGCAACTACTTACTGGACTCATCTTTCGATAAGACCACAACCAACCCTTAGGTTATGTATTCACATGTTCATGTATGTTTTGGGGCTCGGCCGTTCCCCTTTATTCGAGTTCATGACATGGCCCAAAGCTCATTTGTTGTCTGTTGTCTCAACAGGTGTGGCGCCCTCGCCACATGACTACCGTCACCTTTGAGCTAGCGCTCACGGTGCCATTGCGCTCCTTTGCAATCCTCCACGATGCCTGGCGCGCCGGGCCTGATGCCAACCCGGAGCCTCCCGGAAGCAGCATCAGGCGATCTACCAATGCTTCATATCCCGATGGCAGCGGTGGCGGCTCGACCGGCGGTGACGGCACCGCCGGCGGTGCGTCGACGCCACCACCGCAGGCCTCTACTAGCCTTCGCCTCATTGTGCCGACTGACATGGCGCACCTTGCCCCCGGCGCCGAGAATGGCAAGAGCACCATTACTCTGCGCTCTGCACCACCAGCAGGGGCCTTGAACCTGGAGCCACGGCCGTTATCCACGCGGCATTGTGCAGCTGTGACATTTGTGCCAGGCTCCCACTTCAGCCCTGCGGAGCTGGAAGATGTGCTGGGCCCGGAGGTGGCACCAGGGCCGCGTGCGCAGGCGGCAGCCATCAGGGCTGGGCTACCCGGTGGCCCCGGGGCGCTGCCGGTGGAGCTATGGGTAGTAGTGGACTGTTGCGGGCCTGCTGGTATCGCAGCACATGTGATGCAGATGCTACAGACACTGCAGGTGCTGCTGCGCAGCTTGCCGGTGGCAGAGGGTTGTGCCGGCAGCAGCAGCAGTGGAGCCGCAACCACCTCCATGGGCGGCGGCAGTGGCGGTACAACAGGGATTCCAATAGGCGCCGCTGCTGGGAGTGGCAGCTCCGTGGGAGGGAGCACGGCGACAGGTACAGGCGGTGCCCCGGCGTCTGCCTCTGTTGCCGCAGCGACCCTGTTCAACTTGGTCATTTGCCCTGCGGCACCGCTAGTGCTTGACCCGGACGATGAGGAGGCGGTGCTGGCGACGCTTCCACCGGAGCTGGCCAGCTTGCACCTGGCCTCGCGGCAGCAGCAGCACCAGCAACTTCTGCTAATGCGGCAGCGCCAGCAGCAGCAGGGGTTGCTACAGCCTGGTGTCACAGCTGGGGAAAATGATGATGCCCCGCCTACACCGCTTCTGGTGCAACAGGACCCCCAGCAACAGCAACAGCAGCTGCAGCGGGAGGCGCCACTGAACCAGCACACCCTGCTGCAGCAGCAGCAGCAGCACCTCATGCTGCATCAAGATGACGTGATGGCGCTGCCTCCACTGTGGCTTTTCCCTGGCGGCTCACGGCCAGTCAATGCAGAGACCGTGTCCACGGCATTAGGCTGGGTGGAGCAGTTGCTGACGGATGTCGTAGCGTTGGCAGCGTGGGCGCAGCCCGTATCAACACTTCACGACCTACTGGCTGATGTGGCTTGGTCGCCACGGTCGTCCACCTGCCGCCGTACTGCCGTCGTACTATGCCAGCAGGTCCCACAGGCGAGTAGTGTCACCAACGGTGACAGCTGCATTGGGCACGCAGCAGCGGGCCAAGGGAGCAGTGGCAGCAGTGGCGGTGTAGCGAAATCAGCAACGATGCGGCGGACTGGAGGGGGCGGCAGCAGCCGTCTGACGAGCAAGCACCTGAATGCTGTCAACCAGGCTGGAAAAGGGGCCAGCGGTGGCGGTGGGTGCGGCAGTAGAGCCGCCAGCGCACGCTTGCGCCTCAAGCTGGAATCCGAGCCAGGTAGCCGGGCCAATAGTCGGCCCGCCAGCCAGGCCAATAGTCGGCCCGCCAGCCAGGCTAATAGTCGGCCCTCGAGTCGGTGTCTCAGCCGGCCAACCAGTCGCACCGCCAGCCGCCCAGCGAGTCCGACTCGTTCCCACAGCCCTGCAACCTCTGCTAGCCGGCCTTCCAGCCCCAAGGGTGCCGTTCCTCGTCGCGGCCTCAACTTCGGGGATTTGCCAGCACAGGGATACGCCAAGGCAGCCGCGGCGGCCGTGGCTGCTGCAGCACCGACGTCCCAGGTATTGGGTGGCCATCATGAAGACAGCGGGAGGGGGTTCGACGGCAGCATCACTGCAGCGGGCTGGGACTCTGCGCCCAGTGCGAACGCCGAGTTTGTCGGCACTGTCGGGGAAGCCACCAACGTCAACCAGCAACCCGTCACCGTGCACGCCTATGCGGGAGCTACTGAGCCGTATCGTCCCAGGTCCTCACTGGCTCGAGGAGGTGGACAGGGCCGACAGGGCGGGAGCGGGGCAGACGGCGTCCGATGGTCTAACGGCATTGTCAGCAACCCGCGTAGCCGTCGTGGTGGTGGGGGCAGTGGCGGTGAAACAGACCTGAGCGATAGCGACCCCGAGGCCCCGTTGGGCCGGCCACGTGCTACCGGACCATCACCGCTACGTGGTGGTGGTGGCGCTGGCGGCTTTGCCACCGCTGCAGCTGATGGCACTGGCACTGGAACCAGTGGCGACGATGATGAGGAACTGTCGACGGGAAACCCAGCAGTGGAGCCGCCTGACGTCGGATTTCCCGTATTCGTTGTCGTACATGAGTTGCCGCATCCACCCAGCAACGCAATGCTGGCGGCGGGGCTGGGTGCGGCAGCTGCCTTCGGCTCCAACGGCACCAGCTACATGCTCGCGTACCAGCTATACCAGAAGCACATTGAAGCGCTTCTGTACCGTCAGGCTCGTGATGAGGTTGGACAGCTACCGCTATCATACTTTGAACGACTGGCGGAACTCCACGGTGGCTTCGTGCAGGTGTGAATTGGGGATGCATGGTGCTGACAAGCTTCTGGCCAGCATCACCCTTTGCCACTGCTGAAAACTGAGAACTACAACTGCACACGTGGTTCAGATGAACACCTGCCTTCGCGTTGTTCCTGTATGTTGGCATGTCTAGTCCAGAAGCCACACCCCTGGTCTACATTTTCTTGGCCTACTCCCGGCTCCCAATGCGCCTGGCGTCAGCGTGGTGGTAGCTCTCAATTCCGTTCAGCTTTATGGCTTTATGGCAACCCTCGCTCATACATGTTTGCCACCGCAGGTTGTGTCGTCCGCCCTGGAGCTAAGTCCTGCTTTGGTGCTAGCTACCTCCTGTGCCGTTAATGGCCGCTACCTGCGCCAGCTGCGCCTGGTGGCCCGCGGGTCGGTCATCCGTGAGCAGTTCCCCGCGAAGTTGCCGCCGGCATTGCCGCTAAGCGAGCCACTAACGCTGCTGGTCCGTATGAGCCGCATGCAGCCCGGAGCAGTGCTGGAGTTGCAGGGTGTATGGCCCAACGGCCGACCCGCGCACATGGAGGTGTCAGTGGATCCCCGTCTCAGGGCGAGTGGACAGCTTTTGCCGGTGTTATGCGCACTCAGGTGGGTCACGTGCCAGGCGATGTTGACTTGGACACCTCTCTGTGATAATTGTGACAGGGCAATATGGTCGATGTTTTCCTGTTGCTTGGCTGCGGCTGGTTTAATATCTGAATGGGAAGTGGCAAAAGGAAGTTGGCTGTGGCGGGTTCTTAATCTCAGGGGACGTCCTCCGTCCTGTGAAACGCTGACCCTGTGTCTGCCATACCTACCTTAGAAACATGTCAAACCCGACTCATCAGCATCTTTTCTCCCTCCCTGCCGCCGTTCGCGGCTTGTCAATCCTACGATCATCCGTGGCCCCAGTGAAACTTCCTCTCTGCTTAAGGATATGCCGTTCACCATGTCACGAGTCTCCGTGGCCGGGGGCACCACGGGGAGCACGTCCAGTGGCACCACCGGTGTTACCTCCAGGAGCCCCACACAGATGATCCCGAGCGGCTCAGGTGCCGCTGAGGCTGCTGTAACCGCAGCGGTCGGCTGGCCGCCAGTGCGGGTGACCCCACAGCAACGGGTCCTGAAGCGGAAGGCGACGCGCAAAGCCCTGGCGTTCAACCTTGTCACGCCTTTCACGTCCATGGCACTGGTGCGTGCGTGTATGTGTGCTCTATGTGCGCGTGCGAGTGTGCATGTGCGTATTAATATTTGGGTGACCGGGCCTGATGCTGGCCAAGGGTTGCTACTGCGCCTGAACTGTTCATAAGGGCAGATGCCCCTGCCTCAAAAGAAAGACCGGGGCGACTGTTATACCACGGCTTCAGAAACCCGGACCCCCTCCGAAAGGGTGCTATTTAGGACGGGTGTGCGGGGCGCTATCCCCTCTTGCTAAACATAAGATAACGTTCACCCCATAACTGTGACTAGGTCTCGCCCCCATACACGGCATACAGGCATGCAATAGCAGGCTAGCGAACATGGCTGATGTTCAGTAATAGGTGGCAGTGCCATACCGATTACACCCCTACACCAAGGAAGATTGCCATTGTTGCAAGTGTGCTCATGGGGTTAATAACCTTCCCCCGTGTATGTGGTGTACTGGGTAAAGTAATATGGTAAAGTAATATGATCTTATGCATGCGGGCAACATGTCTGTTTTTGATCTGAGCCGTGATGAGGGAAATGCCAGTGGTGTGGTACACGAGAACTTTACCGAAGCGAGCTCTGAAACTACAAACGCAGCTTGAATTTTTCAAGTAGATGTCGAATAAAGGAGTAACATTATGAACCCGTAGAATAACCAGTGTTGTAGCGGCGAAGGGTGACTAGGTGGCGGGCGGCTAGGAGTCACTAAAGGCAACGAGGCCACCTACGTAAAGTCCCCGACAAATGAACTTAGGGTTTCCTATCTTAAGCTAGCGGACAAAGCGGAGGGTTGTGCTACCACAGCGTTTGCGATGCTACGACAAGCAGGGTGCCCTATCATGTATTTGTGGGTGGGTGTCCATGAGGGTAGGTTTTTTGTCATAATACTCATTTTTGTTGGTGTGTTTGGTAAGGGATCGACTGAACAGGCCACGTAGAGATCATCTACCTGTGGTTGGGTGACTTGTTGCCGAAGTGGAGGGGGATCAAGTGTAAAGATACATAAGAGCCGGAGTGTAAGTAGACTGTGGTCTGGGTGTCTGATGAGCTGCGGAGGCAGAACTCAGCCCCCGGTCGTTATGCTTGACGTCTTACCATCTGACACGTGTCGCAGCTCAGCCCCTGCCCCCGTCACCCTACCCTCCAGGTATCCATGACGCTTATTAGCAACCGGGGGCTGACAGTACAGACCCTGCAAACCACTCAGGGCCGTACAGGAGACCAACGCCATGCCTTCGTGTGGCCTGCACCTGTCATGGGTGTGCTGACTGCCACCACCAAGGATGCTGCGACGCAAAACAACGGTGCCGCGTCCCCGTTCCATACCTCTGCCACGTTTGCGGCTGGTGCAGCGGCGGCAGTGCAGGGGCAACTGGGGCAAGGACCGTCGGGTCAAGTCCCTGTGCAGCCAGGGCAACTGGATCTGCCGCCGGAGCTGTTCGCGATGATGTCAGGGTCCGTGTCGATGACGTCGGATGCACTGGTGAATATGGTTAGCAGTGCAGCTGGTGGCGGCGGCAGTGGATATTCTGCTACCGCAGCTGTGGATCCGGTCATGGTGCCAGCAACTGCCACATCCGTGGCATCAGCTGCCTCTGTCGTTCCCACCAATGCTGGTTTAGCAGAGCCTAGGGTTGAAGTCCCCATTCCGCTAGTTGCACCAACGGCTGAGTCAGAGTTCACTGCGACCTCAGTGGCACACCTACCCGGCTCAGAGCAGCAGGAGCAGCAGCAGTACGAGGCTGCTGCTGCTGGCCCTTGCGGCCCAGTCACTGCGACCACCGCTGGTGGCAGCATATCAGCGGCAATGCTGGAGCTGTCAGCTCGGCCAGCAGCCATGGCCGGCAGCACCCAGGCGACATGGAGGCCAAGTGTGCTGGGACTGGGCCCAGTTGCGGCTATTAGCCCCGACGTGACGCTTGTCAGGTGAGATATGCCACTGTGTACAGGTATGGGTGTGTAGTATGCTGAAGACGACACAACCATGAGATGGTGGTATCGAAAGATACCGATAGATGCAAGTGTTTGTAGTACCGTACCGCTATGGCCGATTGGTGATTTCTGGATTGGTGAAAGTAAAAAACGCTTCTAGAATTAATCTTTCCAACACCGGAATTGGTGATACGGTTTGGTGTTACCCCGTCCACTTTTTCCCATTGCCACCGAATTGGTGAAAGCCGCCAACCGGACTGCCCCCCGTTCACTGTGGGCCCTCCGAGGCGCCCCAGGCCCACATCAACCAATCTGCAGTCGCATGTAAACGTTTCTAGATGCACGCCGTCGCATACAGCATCGCGCGCGCGCGCAGCAAAGTGACCCTTAAACTCATGCACAGTTTGTCTAGCCGTACAGGGATTGGTGATGGCCGCCGCTCAATCCCAGCCCGGATTATCCTTTGCTACTGGATTGGTGATTTTCACCAATCCGGTGTCACCAATCGGCCATAGCGGTACGGTAAGTAGTCATCGGTGACTACACTTGGGCCTCGCGCCGACACGGGCGGCGCGACGTCCAGATGCCGGAACTCCTCTTGATCGGTCAGATGAACCAGGGGCGTGGGTCCCAGCTTTACTCGGGTAAAGCCCCCGCCCATACGCTGGTATGGACTTCCGCAACGGTGCGGCATTTAGATGGCGAACTCGGCTATCGGTAGTCGCATGTAAACTAATATCATATTAGTTAGGCCCGTAAGCATCGACCGGACGAGCTAACTGACGACAGTTAGGCTACGGATCCGCAGAAAGCTTACAGGATACAACAGGGTGCAATCCAAGATACTGCTGCGACTGTTGGCTTTACCAAACCTTAATGTGTATCGACTTTGGTTGGGCATGCATGTAGCATTATCTTAGTAGTCGTCATCATCTTTTGCTTAAAACTATGCCTCATGCTTGTATGATATCCTAAGGACCATACTCAACGTATAAGATGCTAGAGTTTGGCACTACTGGTAACGCCCCCGGGAGATCCTGGGATCGATATCCGTGAGGGTCAAAAATCTTTCCGATGGTGGAAGGTATTGCGCCCCTAGTTGATGGACGGTGGTGACCTGGGATAAAGTTAACCTGCGAGCCGACAAGGAATGGAGTTGGGCCGCTGTCCACCCGGCAGATTCCGTTGTATGCTGGTGGTGGGTGCGGAACCTAAGCGATCCACTGAGAAGTTGACTAGGGTAACTGGATGAGGGTGCCCCGAAATACCGAGGAAGGCAGGGTTTCACAGGGTAGCTGCCACGGGCGAAGATATACCCCCCTGTTTCACACATCATACAGGTGGTCACCTGCATATGATCCTTTATATATGATACCTTATTGTCCACAGGCGGCATGTACATCGTCTATCCAAATGGATGTAGCTTTTTGCATGCCTGCAAAGCCATATGTACCTCACCACATGTTTGCCAGGATAAAGTACAAGCGAGAGACGTAAAATTTAGCGGCACTTCGCGCAGAAATTACACAATGTCGTCTACAGCCGACCTAGTTTGATTTTTAATATATTTGTTATAGCTGGTAACACAGTTTGACATAAGCGATCTACAAATAAGCCCAAAATATGTAACCAATACCTTGGGAGGCCCTTTAAGCGGCCAGCTACTCAGGTTAACAGTCATCTGACGACCCCGGCAAAGTCCAAGAAGTGAACATCGAGTTAGACGACTGTCATTGAACGGAAAACCGTGTGAGAACGTGGCTGTGGTCGTCCGGGAAACTTATTGGTGGCTAGGCGCCCACCCACAGACCGAGGGTAGGCGATCGCCTAGCCTCGCGGAGGTAGGCACAGGCTGGAACATGTGGCTGTAAGGGCCCGAGACGGATCACTTCAAACGGGGAGGAATGTAGAAGCTGGTACACAGTACGGCATACATAACAAATACAAATACGCGCGAAGCGCTTGAGCAGCTTCTCGGGTGGCCTTTTCAGCGGCCAGCTACTACACTATTAGACGATACACAATCCAAACAACAGACGTAGGCCACTTCGGGGCGCATCCACGCCTATCGCCTCTTTCTTTGTGAGCTTTTTGTTGCCCGATGGTTTGAGCATCACTCGCGGCGATTCATTCCTGGGGAGTCCCTGCATTGCCCATCATTTTGGGGCAACCAACAGAATCGGCCAGATCTGGCGAGGGCTCCACTCCTGGTTGGCTCGCAGGTTACTTCACTAACCATATAACGGCAAACGGGCCCACTAACGTACCTTAGTTCTTTTCATGGTCCACAATTCTTAGTGTGTGTTCCAAAGATCCTGTGTGTGCACCTGAAATGGCTCATGGCTAAAGACTGATTTGTGCCCACTGAGCCACCTTAGCTCATACCAGCCACCACCTTTCCATATGCTCTCATTCTCCACCTCGCCTGCATCCTGTCGCTGTCTGCCTACGCATATTCTAAAACCTCCAACATCTACCGCCTGCCTGGCAGCTGCACCGCCAGTCCTCCCTTCGCTGAGGACCATTCATCTATCGCTCTGGAACTCCGCGACCTCCCACCTGCAAATGGCACAGAAAACACCACTGGGCCACAACCCATCTCCCTTCCCTCTGAACCCAGCGGCCCAGCATTGTCTGCGGTGTTGGCTTCAACCCTCTCCCCCTCCTCGTCCCTCACCCTGCAACCTGCCGCCACCAGCAGCTCTTCACGGCCAATGCTTCCTCAATCCATGCCACCGTCATCGTCATCATCACCGTTTCCATCTCCAAAGATTTCTGCTGGGCCATACACACCTCCCATGTCGGCGGGCGGCATTGCTGAGGCGCACCAGCTGACGGTACTGGGGCGGCTGGCGGCTATGCAGGCAGCAGATGGCAGCTGGCCTGCAGTCCCAGAGTTAGAGGAGTTAGTGGTCAGCAATGGGCGAAACCTGATGGTGCCAGTACTGGGTGAGTATATTATACTGTGTTAGGAACAGTGTTTTACCATTACAAACCCCCGGAAAAGGCATTCCTTAAGGAGGAGAATTTGTGTTGTAAAGTCATATGTTCGAATATGGGTTGGGTCACTGGGGGCTTTGGGAGTACAGTTTAAATTTACCTTGGTAGGGTCCCCGTCTGCGGACCCCTAGGGGTCACAGGCCTGTGACCCCTTCCCCGGTTAGTCGCCCTGTGCCTAGGCGGGTAAGTGCACAGCCCTGCAATGTGTGCCAATGATACTTGAGAGGATGCCTGAAAGGCAGGTAGGTAACATCCAACCACATTTCTATATATGGACGATTTCAGGAGATTTAGGACATGGACAGCAGCGGCCAGGAGAACTTCATTGCCCTAGTTGCACATATTCATGTGTTTTAAAACGAATTTGGGATGAAATGTGGTATCCTAATGGCTTGCAGGGGTGATGGTTTATGTGTTGGTATGCATGTGTGCTTTGGGGCGTGGGGTGACCATGCAGGGTACGGACAACAGGTTAAGGATTTTGTAGTAAATAGTACGGCACACAAATCCTCACGCTAAGGCCCTCTGCTAGCATCTATTGAGGCGTTTTCGGCGGCCAGCTACTAGTAGCTGGCCGCCGAAAAGGCCTCAATAGATTATAGTACTATGATTTTAGTACTATAATTGATATCCAGACCTCGCACATGTTTGCAATCCTGACGACTTCAGATTGACCCTATAGAGTGTTAGCTAACACTCTATAACAAATATTGTGGCGGATGAACAGGTCAACTATGCCGATCCTCTGCACGAACATCGTGACAGGATCTGTAGCTGTGATTGACAAGGAAGACTGTGTGCCTGAAAAGACGGCTATGAGCTGGATGACGTGAATTGAGAACCCACTGCCCGAGGATAGGAGATGGAAGACACAGGCTGATATGGCTGTAAGGCCCCCGAGACAGATCCCTTCAGCGGGGAAGGAATGTATTAGCTGTAGTACAGTACAGCATACACATCGTCTGTAAACACACACTGAGGCGCTCTGCCAGCATCTTAAGAGGCCCCTTCAGCGGCCAGATACTACAGATTTGCTCCTCCAGAGTGCTTTGCAGCCTTTAAACAAACCCAAAATATCCGTTCGTCCGGTATTGCACCTCTGCCAATTAAATACCCCGCCGTCACACTTGTTTATGCAGTTGTAAGTTGGACAAGCAATTCTAATGCAGCCATTTCATGGCCGAGCATGAACCCCAACCCCAATCTCATCCTCTTCAGGACCCGCCCCCACAACCCCATACCTCACCCGACAGGTGGCCCCAAGCCATCCACCCAGGCTGAGAGGGTGGCAGCTGAGGTGCGGGAGGGGCGACGACGCGAGGCGCTAGCAGTGCTTCGTGGACAAGCGCTGCATGGTGCTGTGTCTGGACCCTGTTGGAGCACTGTGCTGTCATTGGCACTGCTGCAAGCAAAGTATGGCCAACAGCGGCTGGCATGGATACCGCTTGAGGCCAAGGCCTTCTCGTGGCTGGATCACAAATGGCCACCAGTGTCAGTGTGTGGCATGACAGCTCCTGCAGCAATCATGCGCATTTCCGCATTGCTGTGATTTGGTTATATTATTGGTCTTCGTTGTGGTACAGGTTTTTAAGATGTTGTAATGGTGATAGTGTTGGTGTTGCTGGTACTGGCAGCGGTAATAATAATGGTGATGCATGCATGGTAATTGTTGTATCCACTTCCACTGTTTAGGTGGTAGTGAAACTACCGATTAGTGAATGAAGGGAGGCTAAATGCCTCAGCGGTAATGACGACTTGTACAGCAATCTGTATGATCCGAGAATGTAGTCGTCAACGCGAATTATCACCTATCGGTGCAATCGTAACCCAAGTGGGTATACCAGTGACAAGTGTCACGATTATAGCAATAGCGCTATAACCCAGTATCACGCGTGATAAAAGATAGGCAAGTGCCCAATGGTTAACCAAGAGCGAAGATAATGCCAAGTGGTGAAGTGCCAGAGTCTCGGGGAAATTCCGAAGGTAAATATGCAAGTATGCCACAACAACTATCCCCCCTCTGGACGCAGCGTCCTCGCAGCGTTAGTGTCACGAGCCTTGACTGCTTGAAGTTCGGGGCGAAGGTCGGGCGTAAAGTTCTCTGGCTCCCAGCTATTATGTTCATTGGAATACCCGGTCCATTTGACGAGGTACTCGTGCACCAGCCCCTTACGGCATCTTCCTAGACGGCGGGTAGCATCCAACCACAACGAAAATATTTGAATTGGATGTGATGGTCTTGCTTGCAGCCCAAGCTTGTTGGAGGCCTTAATGTAGGACACTTCTCACGATTGAGCTTATTAAGACACTCTCATGAAATCTTTTTGGCAAAACACAAAACACTCACCTGTCCAGGCAGGCTAGTTGAGTAGGGCCTCGGGCCTTACACAGCTGGAAGAGCAAACAGCCAAGCCTATCAGTGGCCGCGCGGCCCAACCGGCCAGCAGGCCGCCCGTAGCGACGGGGGCCGCGCGGCCGACCGCAGCGCTACACATTAGGCCGCCGACGGCCCGGCACGCACCGCGAAAGGGCGCCAGCGCCCAACACCAAAACCCAACCTCGGCACGACAGCACTGCTGACTCTAAGTAACAGAGGCACTGCAGCACCCGCGCGCCCCAAAGACCTTCGCACCGGACAAAGCCCGACCGACCAGAAACGACCAGGCACCAACCCCGTGGGGTGTGCCCCCTCACCCCGGTTGCGGGCGCCTCAGCCCCGCCCCCTGAACCACCCCCCTTCCCGCGCGCGTGCTGTCTCCCCCTGCCACCATGCTGAGGGGGGGGAGGGGCGCCTCTCAGGAGCCCGCCGACGCCAGGCCGAGCCGATCAGTGCTGCATCTGGGGCAAGACTGGGGATAGCGAAAAAAGGAGGCAAGGGGCTGACAAGGACAGGGCGGGTGGGGAGCAAGTACAGCCTGTCACGCTGACTATTTGGACAAGGCTGTATGCACTTCTGTGTGAAGGCAGAATGACTTCACCAGGAGAGCAGCAAGGTTTAAGTCGCCACTGCGACCCAGTTGTACGACAGTACCACAGAACCAGCCTTAGAGGCTCCGGTCGCTTCGCTCCGTCGCATCTAAGCCAACAATTCTGTGTTATTGTCTCCCTTAACTGGTTCTGGTGGCTGTGGATTGGCTGACCCGATGGTGCTGAACGGTGTGGTTTGGACGATTTTGGCGAGAATTGCACCTCTGCCTCGGGCCTTACACAGCAGACCGAAGAGACATTTGCTCACTGGCGAGGCCCAGGCTGCGGGAGACGGAGAGTTTCGCCTCCCCGTCGCGCCGCGTGTAGTGCTGCACCATGGCGTCGCTGCGCCACCGGCCGTGCGGCTTGCGCAAGTCCGCAGGCACACCGCGATCGGCGGCAGTGCTATTTCCTCCTATGCGCATGGAATGCGCAGTGATGCGGCGGGTGATCCCCGCCGCTTGCAGGGTCTTGTTGAGCCGGTGGCAGAAGGCGGGGTACGACAGGGAGTGGATCGGCTGGGCCATCGTGCCTCTTATACTACTACAATACTACTACAATACTACTACAATATTACTACGATACTATTACGATACTACTTCGATACTACGGCAATACTACTACAATACCACTACAATACCACTACAATACCACTACAATACCACTACAATACTACTACAATATCACTACGATACTATTACGATACTACTTCGATACTACGGCAATACTACTACAATACCACTACAATACCACTACAATACCGCTACAATGCGAATATGGTGTGTCAGGACACAAGCTCCAAACATCCTGTTGTGTAATTCTGCCTTAGTGGTACACCTGCGAAGTGGAGGGCCTATGGCTTAATGGGTAAAGCGCCGGTCTACGGAACCGGAGATTCCAGGTTCGATCCCTGGTAGGCTCGAAGGAATTACCTGGTGTGCGAAGCAATTCTGAGAGGTAGTGCATGTCTCGCACATTTTGGACGTGCACAGGTGAGG